AAAAAAAAAAAAAGAATTACTAGGTGCATTGTAATGAACGACAGTTTCTTCGCTTTTTCTCGATCGTGTTGATGCTCTTGTCTCTCGTCGTAATGAAAAATGTATGTGTATCTTTCTTGGTTTCTCCTTCTCTCCACCCCCCTTCTCTCTCTCTCTCTTTTGTTTGCTTCTGGTAGGTTGTGTTTGGTGTAGTTCCTACTGTCTTTTACGTTGGTTGTCTGTGTTTGGTTTCTTATTAGCGACTCCTTATATGTGATATTTTACTACTGTAAAGTCATTTGGGAAGAGGAGAAACCCTCTCTGGCACCGTACGTGTGCTTTAATTGATTTCCTTTTTTATTTGTTTGACTTTTCCTTGCGGCAAAAGTAAATGAAAACAAAAAACGAAGAGTTCCTGTTTTATTATTATTATTATTATTATTATTATTATTATTTCTTTGGATTTTTCTTCTTAACAAAAACCTATCTCTTTCTATTTCCTTTTTTTTTTTTTTTTACCCTTGTTTAACCTGAATACAAAGGGGTAGTAGTGTGACCATCACTCTTACAGAAGGGGAGCAGATTGGCAACCTGTGGGAGTTGTAAGTGGAGTGAGGGTGAGGTCTAAGTCAGGAGTGTGTACGTGAGCGTAACGTTTCGAAAGTAAAATAAAAGGCAGATTGCCGTACGAACATACACACGTGTACTATACTATATATATATATATATATATATATAATATAATATAATTAACAATGATTATTCCGGTTCGTTGTTTCACCTGCGGCAATGTGCTTGCGGATAAGTACCTGCTGTACCTCGACCTTGTAGCGGAGGGCGTGGCGGAAGAGACCGCGCTGGACGCCTTCAATCTGCAGCGCTTCTGCTGTCGCCGTATGTTCCTCACACATGTGGACTTTTCGGATCTTCTACTGAAGTTTAATCCTGCCGACTCTGATGTTACGATTCGGGCTGGGGAACACCATTAAACGAGGTGGAAAAGAAAAAAAAAAAAAAAACTATACTGCCTTGAACTCTGTGAAGACGTGTAGTCGTGAGAAGAAGGAGGGACAGCGGAGAAAGGGAAGAAGGAAGAAAGGAAGGAAGGAAAAAAAGATGGACTGAGAAAAAAATGAATTCTTCTTTATCCGCTCTATTTTGTGGTGAAATTATATAAAAAAAAAA